AATAGAATATTGAATTCATCGTAACATTTTTCAGCTTGTTTTCGGGAAAGTATGTTATACACATAAATTAAAAGGGTTTCAAGGGAAGACTTTAGCCAAGTTTCGTTAAAATCGGTAAAGCCGTTTTGGCGCTACAGTTTATAGCGACACATTTTTTTGCGGCTTTGAACAGAAAAACATTTACATTTTTATTTTTTTTACATATATAAAATTATCGTAAGACAGAAGTACTATGTCAGAAACCTTCCCAGGAGTGTACGGAACAACATCCCAAAGTTTCATGGCGATCGGTTGAATGGTTTAGTAATGGACTAAGGACAAACAGACGGACAGACAGACATATATTCATTTTTATATATATAGATTTAGTTAGAAGAGTGAAGTACAATAAAGTTGAAAGGGTGCTCAATTGCTTCGAGTTACTGTATGGCTAAATCATTTTTTTTTTTTTTTTCATCTTCCTCTATTTGTATCTTGAGTTTTAGATCCAAATCGTTTGTTTCAAATCTTATTGTGAGATCCGCTATCAGTCTCTTTTTCTTTAGCACTAAAGGCTAACAAGGGGAGGTTATGGACGGGGGACTTGTTTTGGTGGTACTAGGTCAAAAATTATAAGAGCCACGTCCGATTCTTTTTGCCAATGCGCCCTAGTTGCCAAAAAAGGAATATTTTATATTTTTTTATATTAGTATTTTTTGACTTTGCTATGCATAGGCTTTTAAGTTATTAGGTACTAGTTCACAAGAGTTCCGCACGGATTACGCGTGGTTCACAATTACTTCGATCACACTTGTTCATGGAATCCCGAATGCGTTCGGGTTTATCCGAAAGACAATGAAGGCGACCGGTTCTATTACTTATAACTTTATTATAACTTTCCTGCTATTTAAGTACTTCTATAACATTAACCATATTCAGTTATATAGCAGGAGCCGACTTACATTCGAAATTTAGGCTACTCATCACGGAACCTGAATTGAACTTGTACATATATTATATATCTGTAAAAAAGAAATAGTAATATAAAAAATCTTTAATTATTACATCTCTGAATGCTATTTCACGATATTATTTTTCTTATTTCTTATTGATTTTCATTATTCATTTTCTTGGAATTATCAGTATATTAATAAATATATAATAAATCATTATTTTTAACATTATATTCATAAAAAGCGGCCTTGAAAACTTAATAGTGGACTCTTTTATCTAAGAAATCCAAATATCTACAAAAAATCAATGAACAATTTTAAATCCGACAATATATTCATAAAAAGCTGCGATGACTAGAAAATAGTGGATCTGTATATCTAAGAATTCAAAAAAGTGACATAAACTTAATGCTTGATCTCAAATCACACAGTGAATGCATATAAAGAGCGGACCCTCGTATTATTAGAAATCCAAAAAATTACATAAACTAGATAGATGACATAAACTAAAAAAGATTACTTCAAATTATTTATTATCCAAATGATAAAAAAATCTTTTAAACACAGTTATAAAAAATAATATACAGTATATGCGTATTTCCAGACACTAAATGTAAGCCCATGTCAATAAAAATGTTATTTCTAACAGCATTTTTTTTTTTTTTTTAACAGGCTTTGAAGAAACGACTCAAACATTATTTTATGTATTTTTTTCTTTTTCTTTCAAAGTGATAACCGTTATAATAAAAATTAATAATTAACTAATTAGTAAATACACAATTCGTAAATAAATTGTTAATAAGGAAGTTTCATGAAGGGAATACTTTTTTTTCTTCAAAAAATGTGTGAAAAGGGGCAATAGCTGACGTCATAAAATACGACAACACTGTTTTCGAGATTCCATGAACAAGTGTGATCGAAGTGATTGTGAGCCACGCGTAATCCGTGCGGAGCTCTTGTGAACTAGTACCCTATTGTTTAATAAATTTATAATAACAAAAAAGCTAGCCGTAAATTAGGTTATTTAAATGTTTGCCTTCTTCGTCGTAAACCAATGACTTCCTGTCCTTCAGTATCCTTTAACAACACCTCACTTATTCCTGTTGAACAAATCCGTTACCTAGGACTCCATCTGGACAAACGTCTAACTTGGAATCCTCATACCAGACTGAAACGACAAGAAACAGCTCGACGTTTCCGACTACTTCAACACTTACTAGACAAACGCTCTATCCTTCCAATCAATTATAAAAGACTGATTTACATGACTATAATAAGGCCTATTTGGACTTACGGGGTTGAGCTATGGGGCTCCACCAAGCCTTCAAATTCCTCTCGCATACAGTCCTTGCAATCCAAAATCCTTCGTAAAATCCTCAATGCTCCTTACTTTGTTACAAATAAAATTATCCATAATGACGTTAATGTTCCTTATGTATCAGATTTGGCCCAATCCCGATATCTGTCCTTCCATGATAAACTTCATAACCATCCCAACCCTCTTGTCTCTAACCTTGCTTCCTATTCGATTCCTGATAAGCCTCCGAGACATCTAAAAAGAAGATGGCCACGTGATCTTCTAATATAGACATATTATTAGAGTGCTACCAATGGGTAGTTTCTCAACATGTGTTTCATGTCATAATATCCATGTGCGAATTTACTAGATGTAATTTTTGTATACAGTTGTAAATATCATATAAATAAATAATAAAAAAAAAAAAATATTTGCCTTGAACAAAAAAAAAAAAAAAAAAAAAAAGATTCAGATTCGTTTTTAGCATCTATTTAAACTTTCAAATACAAGTTTGTTTTGAAATAAAAAAATATAAATTTCTGAACTTAATTTTATGGGAGCGTTTTTTTTTTTTTTTCATGCTGTTTACTAAATAATTCATAACTCTTCTGAAATTTCTCCTAAAGGGCCACTTACACGTTCAATTTTATCGAAGAAATATAATTGAAGGCAATATATTGAAGGGGTCAATTTTATTGAGTCGATATTATATCAGTTAATATCTTGTTTCCACTAAAGAAGGTTTCCAAAGAGGTTATCTTTCTTTTTTTGTGTAAATGAATAATAACGAATTTCCTATTAATTTAATTGGCTTGGCTTTAGCATTAAACAAATCTGGTGCGCTCAACATACAATTTTCACTTACTGCTCTACTTCTAAAAGTAATTTTCGTCTGGCAAAATTGAGCTATTACAAGAAGTTTTTGAAGCGCATTTTTAATAGAGCTGAACCTCGAACAATATATTTTTGAATTTCGGTCATATTCATCAATACAAAAACTCATTAACACCATCAAAATAACATAAACCATTTTTATCATATCGATTGTGGGCAATAAAAATCTTATAACTGCATCGATCTATTTGAGCCACATAACTCTATTCTCTGCACTCTATGGACAAAGAGAGATTTTAAAGTACATGTGTTTAATTACGAATAATAGTCCGTGGTACAGACCCTTTTTTATCGAATTATTAACATCCGCCTGAAACTTCGTAAATAGTTTCATCTCATCGTAACCTACAACTATTTTATTGACGAAAACTCTTGGAATCCAGGGCGTTTTCAATCTGGAGAAGGGCAAACTTTGTCTATTTAATTAGGTACTAAAAATTCTTCTAAAAATCATTTGGTTTCTTCTTGGATCGTAAGATAATTTGATCACAAAATCTATAAAAAAGGTGCCCTACAAAAATATTGGGCCATTTCTCCTATATAACCTCGTTATTTTGAAAATGTAGGGGTGCAGGTCACGCCAAACGGCTTTGTGATGAAATTATCTTACGATTCAAGTAGAAAGCAAAGGGGTATTTACGAGTTTTTAGTATCTAATTAAATAGGCAAATTTTGCCCCCCTCCAGATTGAAAATGCCCCAATTCCACGAGTTTTCATAAATAATATATTATTAGGTTACGATGAGATGAAGCTATTTACGAAGTTTCAGGCGGATGTCAGTAATTCGATTAAAAGCGGTCAGTACCACAGATTATGTCATGTCATATACGTTCATACTGCACAGCCAAAATTATACCTCAAAATTTTCTCTAAGTCGGAGTTACTACAGAGTATTTAGCCAATAAACTTCAAGGAAACATTTTTATATTTTTTCATTTCTTGAAATTCAGATATACTATGCTTCATTTTATTGCCCCAGCGGGTGATTATGAGTCATATGTTATTTTGATAATTATTAAATAAATGCCCTATTTGTTTAGAGGCAGGCCTTCGGTCACTTGAACTTCACTTTGATCATATCAAAGAAAATCTGAAGTGTTCCGGAAAATATAGCCGGATTTTTGCAAGTACCTTTTTGAGATGGTTCTTATCTTTTAAGTACGTTTTAGTTAATTTCGACCTTATGTATCTGAATAAACATTGTAAGTGGATGAAAATGACACCAACCTTTTTATATTATTATTAGTTATTATATAAACAATTAGTCACCGATTTTGATCTGTTTTTTTTTTTGGGAGGAGAGTGGGGGAAAGGATGATACTACATCCAAAAATAAAAATGAAACTTGTCAGAAATTTTTTATTACCTTCTTTATAATAACTGATAAAAGGTACCAAAGGTACTCCTGGGGGAAGGGAGAGGGAAAATTACAGAAAACTGATATTTTTTTTAGTTCTTTGAGAACTAAACCCATAAACTATGAGTTTTTTCGCAAAGATAGTTCAGTACAATATTAAAGTACACATTTTTTGATAAAATCAATTGTTGCGGAGATATTTATGAAATTATATTTTCACTTTAATTCAAAATTGCTTCAAAAAACAAGTCATCTTCAAGCCATCTATAATATAAACACTATTAATTTTGTATTTTAATGTAATTCTGCACTCTATGAAGGAGGTATTAGTCATATTCAATTAAATATTCTATAAATTATAACTCTACCAGTTAAATTGTAAATTAACAATAGCACTAGATAGAATGAGGTTGCTTTTTTTATTGAATATTAATACATTGTGCCACATTAATATTAAGACTACATTAATCATTCACACGATTCATTAAATTAATACTAACAGTTAATTTGATTGAACAGGTGACATACGACAAAAAGTACAGCCCAGAAGAAGAGGGCCGAAGGTTGGAAATATTTCTGGAGAACAAAAAGAAAATTGAAGACCACAATCGGCGTTACGAGGAAGGCCATGTTTCATTCTCGATGAGCGTTAATAAGTTTTCCGATCTGGTATGGTAACACTATAATGGTATATAATTAACCTTGTTATATTTTTTCTGTCCTAATTATTAATTTTTTTGTTTTCAATAAATGATTTTTTTAGAATGAAAGTGAATTCAAAAATTTGAAAGCAGGATTTATTAATCCGAATATACCATCAAGAAGACCTGTTTTACGAAACAACCAGCTCTTCCTCAGAAATGGTGATATTCCGGAATCTTTTGATTGGAGGGAAAAGAATGCAGTGACGCCTATCAAGCAACAGAAGCAGTGTCTTTCGTGTTGGATTTTTTCAGCGGTAAATATCTCTTATTAAAAATGCAATTTATCACTAAGTTTATCAATATTCGCAAGTTTGTCTACGATTGAGGCATTCATTAGAGGCTTCTAGATGGATTACTACAGGCTATATGCCTCGCCCATCTTAACCTCAGTGCCTTCATACCTTGAGATATTGATTGACCATTTTCTGTAAGTAGCTGTTTATTGCTCTTTCTTCATCATGCTTAGAGTACTAATTTAATTCATAGGACATCTATATTATCTACATGTTCAAAGATTTTATGATTCATCCTGACGTGGACCGCTCCATTTTTATGTGATGTTCTTATCACCATCTCTAGTGCTAAGTTGAACGACCTCGGCAGTAGTCTATCTTTACCGTAAGAATTTTAAAGGCTTCTGATACTTCCCCTCATGTCAACCTCATCGACTTATCGGGAACTCCCAGTCCAGGCATAACTTTCCAAAGACAGTTCCTTTCCACAGAATCATTGGCTACTTTTAAATCGACAAATAAGGCGTCTTGAGCTGATGCCCATCGTTTTTCGAGAACTTGTTTTAGGAAGAAGATCTGGTCTAGCGTGCTCCTTCCTTTTCTGAAATTAGCTTGTTGGTTGCCTCTTATATTTTCGTAATGTAGATATATCCAGTTGAGTAGAAAATTGGTCATTATCTTGCAGGCAACCGGAAAGAGTGCTTGCTATCCATGCAATAACTACACTCATACATGACACCTTTCTTTAGGATAGGGCAGATTAAACCTATATTCCAAGTCTCTATTTTGCATTCCTCCTCCCATATTTTCTAGATTAGTTGTAGTAACTCAGCTCTTAAGTCTTCTTCCCCATTTTTAAACAGTTCTGATGGTAGGTTGTCCATTCCTGTGGCTTATTTGTTTTAAGCCTATTTCTACATCCAATATATCTATTTTTTCAATCTTTTCTGGTTCGACGCCCATGTCTTCTTTGTTTGTAGGGTTTTCTTAATTTAAAAGCTCCAGGAAATTTTCATTTCATATGTTCAATATATTTTCTTTAGATGAATATCATCTTTTCCTCGCGTTTGCGTATTTCTCGCTTCATATCCTGCTCTTTCTTTTCTATTGTTTCCGTAGAATTTGGGTATATCTCCAACCTGCCAGTTGTCCTAAATAGTTTGCTATATTTCTTTGAGTAATTGTCTTTTTGCCGATCTTATAGTTTTGTTTGCCTTTATCTTGGCGATCGTATATTTGTCCAGAGTAACATGAACACTTATGGCTAGGTAGAGGACTTTCATTTTTCTTCTTCCCTCTGCTGCCTTTTCGTATTCTTCTGTAAAGCACATCCTAGTTTTTCGTTTCTCCTGATTACCAATCACTTCCTCAACTGTTTATTTTTGCCCCTTTTCGATTTCCTCCCAGTGTTGGTCCACCGTGAGCAGGGTTGCCCACCTCCCCAAGAACAATCGCGCAAGAACCTAACAACCAAAGGTAGAATTAGAAAAATCGGAGATCATATACAATTATTACAGTTGCTGCAGTATCTTCCATATTTTCTCATTGTCCACTAGCGGATCCAGGATTTAATTTTGGGGGGGCTTCAGCCCGGAAGCTTTTTTTTTTCATATATAAAACGAAAATTACTTTGGAAAAACAGAAAGATACTAACTACCTATATGAAATGGTGTTTAAGTGATTCTTTAAGTCCTATTAAATGTAATTAAACGAGCAATAATACTTTAAGACATAATTTTTTAACATTTTTTGCCATAAAAAATTATTACATTTTACCATTTTGGGGGAGGGGCTTCAGCCCGAAAGCCCCCTCCCCCCGTAAATCCGCCTATGTCATTGACCCTTAGAATGAAACTTTTCATTCTGAAAATTCATAACCCCGCCAAAATATGCCCCACTTAAATTTCCTTCTGGGTACCCCTGATCGTGAGATTCTCCGAGCCTAAAAGTTTGAATTTATTATTCTGCTCAAGTTGGAATTTGCTTTTAACTTCAGGATTCTATAAATTGTAGACTTCGTACCTCTTTTCTTTCCATTCAATTCCATGTTTTGTGAATTCGCTTCAAACTCTGGCATAGTTTAATTCTAATTTTGCTTCTAGTTTAATTCACAGTCTGCTTCACGACAGCTTATTACATCTTGTATTGAGCACTGATGTCTCTTGTCAACCAGCAGATGGTCAATTTGGTTTTTTGCTCCTTTGCTGCTTACTCAGGTGTACTTATGGACATCCTTGTATAGGAACATGTATAGCTGGTGACTAAACCTTTTAGCCCTGTAGCTAAAAGGTTTAGAACCAAAAATCGACCTCATTGCAGGCCAAGGTTTGATTATAAATCACGAAAGTCTATGTTATTCTGAGTAAAAAGAATCTTGTCTGCCGTTCCAGAGCCGCTGCATTAAAAAATGTCAGATTTTTTCGGTATTTTTTAGTTTTTTTTTACCTATAACTCCTAAATGATGCATCAAAACGAAAAAATAGGATTTTGATAAACGAATGTGTCGAAAGATACCGAACATCATAAAGGAATAACGAATCCCGATTCGACATATATAATTGACCTACAATAAAAATGTTAGTACTCAGTGGACACAAAATTTGATTCTCTACAACTTTGATTCTATGGGTTTTTCCTCTTAGAGGACTCATTTTATGCTACAGAGCCATTTATAGTAATTTGTCTCAGTTTTTGTCGAATTTGGTAAAATAACTGGCTCCCCCCCCCCCCAATTGCCCTTTAGCTACCGCCAGACGGATGCATATAGCTCCATTATTATTGCCATTTTCGTGAAGGATTCAATACTAAATTGAAAAGATAAAGAATAAACTCAAATTTAGATCCCTATGCTATACTGCCATCTAAAGCATTTCTGTTCGAAGTTTGTATTAATAATATTACACTCTAGTTAAATATAATGGAAACATGAATAAATTATCAAAATTTACGCTAATTTATTAATATATCGCAGGTAGGTGCAGTGGAGAGCCAACACTTCATCAAAACCGGACAGCTGGTGGTCCTCAGCGAACAGAACGTCCTGGACTGCGTTAACGCTCCCGAAGACACAGGACATTGCCGGGTAGGATGGATGGACACCGCCTTCGAATACATCCTCAACAACGGAATCGATACCGACGCGTCTTATCCTTACGAAGCTGAGGTAGCGAAAGAGCTCAAGTATATATATATGTACTCTTAGTTCAAGTATAGTTCACATTCATAACTGGGTACCTGCATGAATTTTTACTTTTTACTTGTTGGTGAAGATTGGGGTATCTAGAATAAATACGATAGTATAGACCAGTGGTCGGCAAACTTATTAGTCAAAGAGCTAAATATAAACATTACAACATTTTTACTTTCACTTACGTATATATGTAATATATAGTAAGTGTAAGCATTGCGATCGAGAAAATTTTTGAATCTGCGTTATCGACGGATTTATACCTTTTGAGGTACCCTGAGTCGAAATGACCAAGTCCCGACAAATGGTCTGTGTGTCTGTGTGTTTGTATGTTTGTAAGCTCAAAAACGAAAAGTCCTATGAAACTGATATCACGTATTTAAGATAGGTATATGCCTTAGATGTGACGGCAACTTTTTCCTTAAAATCGGCTAACCGGAAGTGCCACTTTATATCAACGCTGAAACACATTTTCACAGTTTTCTCATAAACGGCTCTAACGATTTTGATTTAACTCGGTGTATCATTGTATAATTAAGTGGTCTTTAATATAAATTAGGTCTTATCCCCATTGATGTCACTTTACAGGGCTTAAATGCCCAATGTTCATATACGTCTTCCTCTAAAGTACCTTTAATATGGTTTATTTTAAAAAGATAATTATTTCGCATTATTCAGAGTTACTTTTGAAAGAATTTGATAAGTTAATAAAAGAGAAAAAAAAATAAAAATGCAGAAAAACGTAGCGCCTAAACGAATGTACCGATTTCATTGAAACTTCGCGTCATTTTCTCGACACCCTTCAAATTTATCTATATAACATTCATCAGCGAAAAGAAGCTGAAAAAAAGTTACGAGGGATGGTAAAATTAAATTCCGAATAACTCAAAAAGTATACACTTTTTTGGGAACGTTGTGATAAGATGTTTCAAAGGTATTTAAATTGCCTAAAAAACAAAAGAAGTTTCATCGAAATCGAAGCACTATTAGTAGAGATATCGCGATTTTTTTTTTTTTTTAAATTGGAGCCAAATCTGCTCGTTTAGTAAACTTTTATTACACTTAATTTCATACTTAATAAATATTTATTGATGCGAACAATGTGCATGCATCTCCTTGGAAAGTTTGAGTAAGTCAGGTTTGTATGTTGTTGTTTTTAATTTTTGGCATGATTCCAAGTTCTCATCAATGAGGAGACTTCTCAGTTTACTCTTGATAATGTTCATGTTTGAAAAAGATTGTTCGTATATTTATGTAGAACTGAAAAGGGAAAGAACAACAAACGTATTCAGCTGATCTTAAGAGTCAGGAATACTATTCCAAGAGTTGAAAATGATCATGTCTTCCTTCTCGAGGTCATTCAAAGCAGACCACTTGTGTTGTGAACTAAGTTCACATTTTTTTCTTCTCCAGTATTTCCAATTCAACATAAATACATCCGAATTTAGAGCGCCATACCTCCTTGTTTTTTAAATCCAACAATTGTATTTCAAAGATACCAATGTCAATTTCAAAAGGAGAAAATTTCAACTCGGTTATCGTAGCATTAAGAGGATTTTTGACAAATGCTAAAGTTGCTCAGCTGTTTTAAAATTCCTTAAACCTGCTGATAAATGGTTTATTAATTATAATTGCAACTGCTGGTCTGTGATGCCAATTTGTACCACCACTACTTTAGAAAAAGTACGTCGAAAACATACGAACAATTTCAGCAGGTAGCTTGTACATGGTTTGTGCTTACGTTTACGAAAACTAATAAAACTCGATGTTCGTTACGTACTTTTACAACAATATAAAATTTTAATTACCTATCTATCTTTTAACTTAAACAAAAAATTATAAATGTTCTCAGTGATGTAGAGATGGTTGATCGTTAATATAATATGAGAAGGAGTTAGTCGAGGGTGCGGTCAAATAAATAAAAAAATTAATAATAATAATAATAATAATAATAAGGCTTAGCGAACCCGAAGGTTCGATGCCGAAACCACCAATCGCTTGTTACACACCTCCCTCCACCGTTCGCCGTCCAAACCCAGTCCCTTCAGATCGGCTTTAATGCAATCTTCCCACCTTCGCTTCGGTCTACCCCTCGGACGCTTACCATTCGGCACAGCAAATATTAACCTTTTAGGAATTCTCTCGTTACTAAGCCCAACAACTTTACAAGCCCATTTGATTCGCCGCGATGAAATTACCTCAATTATATTACCCGGATACAGCTCACGCAATTCGGCGTTGTGTAACCGTCTGAACTCTCCGGTTAACTCATCCTTCTTCGGTCCGAATATTCTACGCAATACTTTATTTTCAAAAACCTTAAGGCGCTGCTCATCCCTTAATGTAAGCGGCCAAGTTTCGCATCCATAAAGAACTGTAGGCAAGATAATTGTTTTATAGATTCTAATTTTTAAGTTTCGGGACAAGAGGCGCGAACTAAGTAGTTTTGTCACAGAAAAATAACAAGCATTCCCCGCCTTCAGTCTAATCTTAATCTCTTCTTCAATTTCGTTTTTTCTAGTTATCGTAGAACCTAGATACCTAAATTTATCTACCCGTTCAAACATATTACCATCTATATCGATATCACCAGTAGTATCGCCATTTTTGCAGCTAACCATATATTTTGTTTTATCCACGTTTATTTCGAGTCCTAGTTCTTTACCGGCTTTCATTAACGTTGTCGTATTTAGTTTTATAGTTTCAACGTCTTCGCTTAACAGTACCAGATCATCAGCATAGCCCAGCACGGATGTTGTCCCGCCCAGATCCAACCCTTTCTCGGTTCGCATTACCTCCCTAATGGCATGTTCTAATGCCAAATTGAACAGTACAGGCGAAAGAGAATCCCCCTGTTTTAAGCCCGAACGAACCTCAAATTTTTCGGACAAATTATTACCGATTCTAACTTTATTGAGTGTCTCCGTCAAGCACATCCTGACTAGATTTACTAGTTTTTTTGGAATCCCCTGCTCGATTAGAATATTATACAGTTTCTGGCGGTCAATAGAATCGTAAGCCTTTTTAAAATCTATATACAGCTGGTGAACAATACCGTTATACTCCAATTTTTTCTCTAATATTTGCCGTAAAGAAAATATTTGATCAATAGTCGAACGATTCCGTCTAAATCCGCATTGGTAGTCTCCGATAATTTCCTCGGCGTATTCCGTGATTCGACTGGTTAAGATTAAAGTGAAGATTTTATAACATACCGGAAGGAGTGAAATTCCTCGATAGTTATTACAATCCGTCCTCGGACCCTTTTTGTGAATCGGAATAAGAATAGATTCTTTCCATTCTTCAGGTAATTTCTCGTTCACCCAGATCTTTTTAACCAACCGATGTATTTTAGAAACTCCAGCTTCCCCGCATGCCTTAATTAGTTCAGTAGGAATATTATCGATTCCCGCTGCTTTATATGATTTTAATTTTCCGATAGCTACTTCAACTTCCTCTTTACTTGGTCCTTCTATTAACGGTTCAGCACTCTGGTACTCAGAAGGAGGACACAGATCATAATTTCCCGTATTTAATATATTGTCAAAGTGGTCCTTAAACTTATTCAATATGTCAACCGGATCGGTCAGAATATTGTTATTATCATCCCTAATTCCAGACGTTACGGGCCCTACATATTTACGTGATCTGTTTATACCTTTGTACATGTCTCTTACGTTATTTTCGATTCTATTAGTTTCTATTTCAATTATTTTATTTTTAAGATACTCCCTTTTTTTATTTTTGAGCAATTTTGTCGTTTCGTTCTTTGAGATTCGGAAGTATTCCAGATTGTCTTCGCTAGGATTATTTAGAGCTTTTAATTTAGCGGCTTTTCTTTTTTCACACATGTTTAAGCAATCTTCATCAAACCACGGTTTGTTATTCTTATTTTCCTTTTTTCCTAGACACGAGTTACCGACCGCTTTAATATTATCTCTGATCTCTATCCATAACTTGTCAATATCCTCGTGGTCCTCGTCAGGAAGCTCTAAAGCTTCAAACCTATTCTTAACATCTAGCTCGAATTGGTTTCTAATTGATGGATTTTTTAATTTTTCCAAATTAAAATTCTCAAAATCGAAATGGTTTTCTTTTCTCTTTTTTATATTAAGTTTTTGTCGAAGTTTCGCGATTACTAATTCATGATCCGACCCACATTCTGCTCCGCGATAAGACCGTACATTAATTATACTGCTTTGCCAGCTGTGTTGTATCAAGACATGATCGATTTGATTTCGTGTTTTCGAATCCGGTGATGTCCAAGTATATTTATGAATATCCTTGTGTTTAAACGTCGTACTTTTAATTATCAGGTTTTTCGAGATGGCAAAGTTTATCAGACGGATCCCATTATCATTACTATATTCGTGTAAACTTTCTTTACCAATCGTCGGAATATAAACTTCTTCTCTTCCTACCTTTGCGTTCGCGTCACCTACAATTATTTTCATGTAGTTTCGCGGTAGTTTATCATAAACCCATTCGAGTTTATCGTAAAATTCACTTTTGACTTCATCGTCACTGTCTTCGGTCGGACAATGTATGTTTATTAATGCGATTTTAAACCAACGTCCCTGAAATGTAGCTACCGAAATTCTATCACTAAAGAATTGAACGTCCCTCAAAGCGGATAGTAATCTACTCCTAATTAGAAACCCGGTACCTAAACAATGATTCCCGCTTCCTCCGTACCAAATAGTGTACTTCCCTTCCCTCATCGAGCCCTCTCCTGGCCAGCGAACCTCTTGCAGAGCCACGACATCCAAATTGTACCCATTTACCTCATTCGCGACCGATTTTAGCCCCCCTGCTGTGTTTAAACTCCTTACGTTCCACGTACCAATATTTAAATCCCTATATTTCAACTTGCGGCATGAATCCCCTAAAGCAGTCCCCACCCGGAGACCCGAACGGGGGACTAGTTTACCTCCGGATAATGAGCGTTTTACCTTAGGGAGATCCATGACTTTTTGTGGTGTTTGGTGAACTAAAGATATGTGAGTAGGGCGTTCAATCCTACGTCACACCCTCCAGCAAGTCTGGTGGGCCCCTACCTCCAGCAAGTCTGGAGGTCCCCTCCCTCCAGCAAGTCTGGAGGGCCCCTCTCATTGTTGGTCAGCGAGTCCATCGGACTTAGCCGGGAGGAACTTCCAAGGAATTCCACCGACCATCCCCACATCCGCCACCCGTGGGACGCTCCCCATACGCGGTAATGAGCCCGCGCGAGGAAATAAAAAAAAAAAATAATAAAATAAAAAAATTAAAATATATAAATTATTTTAATTTTTGCCGACGTTTCGACCCATTTTGCAGGTCGTCTTGAGGGCTACAAAAGATACAAACATGTTGAAAAAAATAAAAATAAAATAAAAAATAAATATAAGTATATATAAAATACGAAGGAGTTGTCAGATACAGAAATAAAAGATAAAGAAAATAAATACATGATAAGAAAATAGATAAAAGAAAATAAATAGATGAATGTTAAAGAATAAATGAATGTTAACGAATAAATAGATTGAAAATTGAATAACTATTGTTACAGTAAAGTTAAAATATGGATAAGATAACATAATAATAAGATATCAGTGGATAACAAGCAAGTGGAGGTTACCTTTAATTGTAAATAAACAGATAACGGGACTAAAGGTTAAGAAGTGAAGAAATTGAATTTTAATAGGGTAACATTAGTGTAATATTGTTGGGATAGATTATTAAGTATAAATAACTCTATAAGAAAACAATAATTTCAAAAGAATACTTTAAAATGTAAGAATAAATGTAAAAACAAGGTTATGATGATAAAGAAACAAAAAACAGGTTGTACTATATATAGATGACAATTGACATTTAGTTTTTTGAAAGCGGTAATGGAATGGTAGGCTGCATGAAGATAATAATAAGGTGTATAGTTGAAGGATAGGTGTGTTAAGAAAAGAATCACAATAAAAGTCAAAACATACCGTAAGATGTGGCACTGCGGGAGGCAGTTGAAACACTGGCAGTGTCAAAAAACTCTAGTTAGCAGTGTCAAAAAAAAGTTGTCAGTATCTGACAACTCCTTCGTATTTTATATATACTTATATTTATTTTTTATTTTAATTTTATTTTTTTCAACATGTTTGTATCTTTTGTAGCCCTGAAGACGACCTGCAAAGTGGGTCGAAACGTCGGCAAAAATTAAAATAATTTATATATTTTAATTTTTTTATTTATTTGACCGCACCCTCGACTAACTCCTCATATAAATGTTCTCGATTTATAGAATAATTTTAAACTTTTGCAAGCTTTTTTGTGAGGTAATTTGACTGGTCTGTCAAGCCACGCCTACAATCCTCACTATACTTCCAAGACGCTACGTTATACGTTATATACGTAAATATGAACCTCTGACTATCATTTGAAAAGTATAATTTAAATCTGATATACTTAATTGATCACTTGAATTCTATTGCAGCTCAAATTTACTTAATTTTTTCCTTATGCGTGATCCCAGTTGACAAGTATTGTTTGCTGTTTTAGATCAAAAAGTGCAGGTTCAACGAGTCCAATGTCGGCGCTACGATCACTGGGTACGCTGATTTGCCATCAGGCGACGAGGATGTCCTTATGAAAGCTGTAGCCACGGTTGGCCCAGTTTCGGTCGCCATAGATTCCAAAGATGGAAACTTCCAGCATTATAAATCAGGTAATTGTATATATTACTAGTTGGGTCTTGTCCGAAATTCGCATAATATCTTGGTCAGCAAACTAATCACAAAAATAATAGAAAATGTGAGGTGTATAAGGGAGAGGGGAATTAATTCGATTTTAAATTAAAGGCCGAAACCAATGAAAATTTTTGGTGCGGTGCGCTCATTATACAACTTTCACTTACCACCCTTTGTAGTGCGAATAAGTATTTTCAGACAAAAGGAACTGAAAGTAAAAATTATAAACGGTACGAAATATTTTTTAAACAAATAATTACCATATGTTTTTCATAGCCGTCTAATGTAATATATTCTATATACTATTTCTAAAAGCTGTTTTTTCTCGGTACGCCGTAACTTCGTCAATTCTTCATCAAATCCAATGATTGACCACTCATTTTGAAGATATTCTTCTCCTTCACATGCAAAAAATAGTCACATCCACCCGAAATTTCTGTAAAAAAAAGTTATAGAGGAAAAGAAACTTTATTTGCGAATAACTCAAAAAGTATCTATTTTTTTCTTAATTGTGCCCATGATAATTGAAATATCACTAAATTACCAACAAAACAAAAAAAAATCGTAAAAATCAGTCCATTAGTTTTGGTATAAATAACGTCTTCCTGTTTAAAGATATTTATTACTTTTATTATCTTTCCAGCCAGTGTTTAAAAACAGGTCCTATCAAAGCAATTTGTATAAATATTTTGATCTATTATGTTTAATGGAATATTGTTATCGACTAAGGAAAAAAATATTAGTTCCTTCCTTACATAATACATAGGAAGTACTTATTTCCATATTGTTTTGCTATTTCTTCACTAAACAAAATTTTCTGCGAATTTTTCGCACGGGCCAACCAGTTTATGTTAATAGGGCATATAAAAAAAAAAAAATGGCCGTTTTTCAACCAAATATTTGTTTTAATATAAAATACAATTAATACCCAAAGTGTAGTACATTGTTATCTACCGTCATTAACCATATCCTAGCTCCAATTGCCATATCCAATTGCTCGATTCCACGCTGATACCAATCTTTGGAATGACTGTCAAAGAACTCTTAGACCGCAATTTCAACTTTCGAAAAATTATCAATTTTTTTCTCTTGAAGAAAATGGTATATGGATCTAAATAAGTAATAATCCGATGGTGCGAGGTCTGAAGTGATAAAAGATAAGAAATGAGTGTATAACAAACTCGTTACATTTGATAACTGTAGATTAAGAGAAAAAGAAAATGAGCTTTGGCGATTAAATAATAATAATAATACTTTATTTATTCTGGGACGAATCCCTTTAGAATAATACAGAAAGACATAAATATGGGCTAAGGAGCCTCAGAGATACATAAATAAAAATACAGAGTAATTAAACAGTCATAGTAAAAAAATGAAAGACTATAAGTTACTTTCTAATTTTAATCAGTTAATAATAAAAAATAAAAAAAAAGATGAAGTAAAAATAATGAAGAACGAACTAATAATTTATATACATATTTACATTAGTATCTATTTACAATTTCATGAGGACTGGATGGATAAGAAATGATTGAACATGCGAGATTTAAAGGTAGAAAGGTTATTGGATTGACGAGTGAGGGGATGGAGTTCCAAAGGGATGGGGATCAGATAATGAACGATCTGTCGAAAGCAGCTGTTGAAAAATAAATAAATAAATTGAAAAATAAATGTGAGCGGGGTAGCTCCGTGGATAACACTAGCGAATCCAGGATTTAATTTTGGGGGGGCTTCAACTCGAAAGATTTTTTTTTCATATACGTATAATAATAATTGATTAGGATAAAAAAGAAAGAAATTAACTACCTGTATGAAATGGTGTCTAAGTGGTTCTTGAAGTCCTATTAAATGTAATTATACTAACAAGAATACTTTAAGAGATCGTTTTTAATATTTTTTTTCTGTAAAACATGGTTATATTTTACCATTTGGGAGAGGACTTCAGCCCGAAAGCCCCTCCCCCCCCCGTAGATCCACCTGTGGTGGTTAAGATACTGATTTCCTATGTTCAAGATCGCAGGTTCGAATCTGGATGTAGAAGGTAATTATTTTTCGACTTTAAATCAGAGTTCCAACACTGTCATCACCACCTATGCCGATGACACGTGTATCCTATCAGTTAATAACGATCCTTTAATTGCATCCCAAACTCTTCAATCACACATCACAAGCCTTGAAGAATGGTGTAAAAATTGGAGAATAAAAATAAATTCCAACAAATCTCATCAAATCACCTTTACCCTCCGTCGTAAACCTATGACCTCTTGTCCTACAGTATCCTCCAATAATACTCCACTTATTCCTGTTGAGCAAATCCGCTGCTTAGGACTCCACCTTGACAAACGACTCACTTGGAACCCCCATACCAGACTGAAACGATTAGAAACCGCCCGACGTTTTCGACTACTGCAGCACTTACTAGACAAACGATCTAAGCTTTCAATCAATTATAAACGACTCGTATATATGACAATAATAAGACCTATTTGGACTTACGGAATTGAGCTTTGGGGCTCCACTAAACCATCGAATTCCTCTCGTATCCAATCCTTACAATCCAAAATCCTTCGTAAAATCCTCAAAGCTCCTTACTTTGTCACAAATAAAATCATCCATAAAGACCTTAATGTTCCATATGTTTCCGATATGGCCCAATCCAGATACCTTTCCTTCCATAACAAACTGCAGAACCATCCGAATCCTCTCGTTTCAAACCTTGCTTCCTCCTCGATCCCTGATAACCCTCCGAGGCGTCTGAAAAGAAGATGGCCTCGGGATCTTCTAATATAAAACTTTAATTTGAGTTCTACCAATGGGTAGTTTCTCTTCATGTTGTACATGCCGTGTTACAAATTTCTCATTTACTTATTGTATTCTCTATGTAATGCAGTTGTAAATTCCATTAAAATAATAAAAAAAAAAAAATAAAAAATCAGAGGACACTGTTTCCTTACAATGTACTGCACCCATCATGAGTTGTAATGGTACAGGTTTTTTTAATGTTTTTATTTTTATTAATAAGGGTTATTAACCAATTACTTCTGGGTTATTATTATTATATTGTAATAACTTGTGCTATATATATATATATATATATATATATATATATATATATATATATATATATATATATACATAAAGTATATATATAAATTATTTCATTGATGTCAATCTCGTATATTTTTTATTTTTCAATATTTTTCTAGGTGTTTATTACTCAGAGGATTGCCAGAACACTGAAGCCAAACTGGACCACGCCCTCCTCATCATCGGGTACGGTGAAGAGAACGGACTCCCGTACTGGTTGGTGAAGAACTCCTGGGGAACGAGTTGGGGAGAGGACGGCTTCGCGAAGATAGCAAGAAATAAGGATAACCACTGTGGAATTGCAACAATACCCAGCTACCCCGTCATTGATTAGGAATAATATAACTCCATATTTAAATCAAATAATGTAAATTAAAGGCTTTTTCAAATATCTCTATTAAGTATTATTACATTCTGTCATATTTCAGAGCACTAATAATAGCCATAGAGTAGCTCATTCACACTCTACGTACAAAAAAAAAAAAAAATAAATAAACTGCAAAATAATAATACTAAAAGGAAAAATTATAATAAAAATATATGGTTAGCTGCAAAAATAGTGATATTACTCGTGATATCGATGGTAATATGTTTGAACAGGTAGATAACTTTAGGTATGTAGATTCTACGATAACTAGAAAAACCGAAATTGAACAGGAGATTAAGGTTAGACTGAAGGCGGGAAATGCTTGTTATTTTTCTGTGACAAAACTACTTAGTTCGCGCCTCTTGTCCCGGCACTTAAAAATTAGAATCTATAAAACCAATATCTTACCGATAGTTCTTTATGGTTGCGAAACGTGGCCGCTTACATTAAGGGATGAGCAGCGTCTTAAGGTTTTTGAAAATAGAGTATTGCTTAGAATATTGGGGCCGAAGAAGGATGAATTAACCGGAGAATTCAGACGGTTACACAGCGCCGAATTGCACTATATCCGAGTAATATAATTGAGGTGATTTAACCACGGCGTGTTAAATGTGCCTGTGAAATTGTTGGGCTTAGTAATGAGTGAATTCCTAAAATGTTAATATTTGCTGTACCGAATGCTAAACGTCCGAGGGGTGGACCGAAGCGAAGGTGGGAAGATTGCATTAAAGCCGATCTGAAGGGACTAGGTTTGGACGGCGAACGGTGGAAGGAGGTGTGTAATGAGCGATTGGTGGTGTCGGCATCGAAGCTTCGGGTTCGCTAAGCCTTTTATTATTAATGTTATTATTATATAAAAGGAAAAATAAATAAACTAAACTAATCAAAATAAAATTAAAAAAAAAAATCTGGTGTGCGCACTTACACGACTTTCCTTCTGTTTCAGAAAAATGATTACGTAATTAAATATATCCATTAAGAAAAAAAAAATTAATCAGATTTATTTGGCTGAAAATTAATCAAAGAAAGATTTCAGTACGATTTCTTTATGAGTAAAATAAACTACAGTAACATAAACCCGCTTGTGGAAGATCAGCTTAAAAAACTCATTACATTCTAATATTGCTAATAAAAAACTTTTTGCCATAGCCTAATTTTGTCAGACAATAATTTCCGTTAAAAGTATTGAATTAGTGATAATTTTGTGATGTGGGCACCAGATTTTTAAAATTTTCTTTTTTATTTCTCTTTCACTCTTTTCTAACCGCGGGATTTGAACTTATAATGTTACATATGAAATTGAATAGCTGTAACTTCCTTAATAGTTGTCCGAAATGAACGATTCCGATGATTTTTTAGTAATTTAATTACCTTTCAAAAGTGTTTGTATAAGTTTTACCATAGTAAATACAATTAGCGAGTTAGGACACAAAACTTTTTTCTTTTCTTTATAATTATATGATATATTATGGAGCAACCAATTTTCGTCACAGGCATTAGCATTAAAACACTACAAAATAAAAAAAGAAGCAACAAAATCTGTCAACTGGTTCCGGAGATAATCTTGGCACAGAACAATGGCTGAAAATGTGTTTTTCGGATTCCGGGGAGAGAGGGTGGGGGCCTCTAAAACGTACAGATCCGTCGAAAATTGCATACCGGAAATTTGAATGGGTCATTTTTTTTATTTTTTAAGAAGGCTTTAGAGCTAAAGTTTATAGAAAATAAAAAAAAATTCCGCCGCTAATTTGTAAGGAAACAGCAGTGAGACCTTCGAAATGCATTTTCCAACAACAAATTGATACATACAAAATTTAAACTTTCAAACTTTTTTAACAGGAGCTACAGAGAGAGAGATGCACAATACTTAAATCAGGCGAAAAACAAGAAAAATATTTTGTAAATGCTGAACTTTATCCAAAATTTGATGGTATTCTTCTGCCTGGAAAGCAACATTATATACAGAATTTCAGCTAAGTTGGTCCAAAGGGAGCCGCTGGGGATCAAAATGTAGTTTGAAAAAACATATTTACTACAACTGAAATCTCTAAAAATTTCATTATCATATTCTAGGCGTTTTAGAAAACGGATAGAGAATGCAACACAGCCTTTCGCTGACTTTAGTCGATACAGTACAAATGCATCAACTGATTTCTAATTGAAAGGAAAATAGAAAAAATAACATTAAATAAATTAGTTTAAAATTATTTTTTGAAAGTATGGTATAAAAATAAAGTACAAAAAAGCACATTCATTCCACGAAAACGAAATATTTATTTTGTATGTTTGAAAACTGTTAAAAGTCTGATATAGCCTGGACACCCATTTTGCAGATTGACTCATCTCACTTAAACAGCCAAAAGCATTAAGCTGAGAAACATTATACTAAGGCATTTCAATATATACATATATAATATTATATTGAATTGAAAAAATATATCAAATTTTGTCTGGTTAATTATTTATTACTATATGTGTGGCTAACGCCTTAATTTAAAAAGCTGAGAATTTAAAATTATCTTAGGTATATTTAACTGTATTTAGTGCATAAACCCTGAGTATCAACATACTTAAAAAGGTGCTCAAATTTAAACAAAATTACCTGTTCAAAAATAAGGACTATATGAATCAAGAGGTAACATACGACTGAAGAGGCGTGCAATATTCTGACATTCCTTCAGCTGGGTCGTCGTATTTAATTTGAACTATATTTTTGTGTAAATACATAATTATAAAAATTAAAAATATTATGCAGGATATGACAATGGAAACGCCAAGGGGAATACAAATTGAATTTCCGGCAATTGACCCAAAAAACTGTAGCTGTTATTTTGACGGTAAGGTTCATGGCAATACAAAGATGTTTGCATAACAGTTTTAATATAGATATACTAATTAAATTTAAAAAATGGTGTCTTTAGCACATTAACCCAGCAAGTTACTTTTTGTAGCAGTTATAGAAAAGTATCAGTTATATTTAAATCAATGTTGTTATTCTACTATTATATAAACATCTGTTAACAGAAAATATTTTATGTGATCATGTACACCGCCATTTGTTTAATAAAATAAAATCTGGTGCCCGCAACACACAACTTTCACTTACCGATCTAAATAGAAATTATTTTCTGGCAATGCCGGGCTGTTATAAATTTTTTTGAAGTTCATTTTAAACGGAGCTAAAGCTTAAAGCTTACAGATAAGAAGTCATTAAGACCATTATAATTACAAAATGTCTATTTAATACATCGACGACAGGCAATAAAAATCTAGTCACTGCATCTACTTTTATAAACCACACAACTTTCTTTATTTTTATAAACCACATAATGACTAACTCCAATTTCAACATTTTTGAGTGATGCCATTTTAGTGATATTTTTAGTTGAAAAAGTTATCTATGCAGAATATGAGTAAGTTGATTCCAGAGGTGGTGATTGCAGTGTTGAAATATAAAACTGAGAATAAAGGTATAAATTTAGGTACTTATTTCTTATGAAAAATGTTCTTAGAAAAGATATTTTATTAAATATCTGTAGAAAAAAGTATATTTTAAATTTATCCGAATTTTCGTCTCTTCAGGGAAAATAACTAGAGACCATATCTTTCTTCCTAATTGTCTGATCTTACCGATTTTTTTTTTGATTTTTTAGGAAATTCCATAAACTTTTAAAAAACCATATACAACATCGCCAAAAAAGTGTATACTTTTTGAGTTATTCGGAATTTAATTTTACCATCCCTCGTAACTTTTTTTCCAGCTTCTTTTCGTTGAAGTATGTTGTATAGATAAATTTAAAGGGAGTCAAGAAAATGACTTTAGCGAAGTTTCATTGAAATCGGTACATTCGTTTAGGCGCTACAGTCTATAGCAACGTAGGTTTTTCTGCATTTTTATTTTTTTTTCTCCTTTATTAACTTATCAAATTCTTTCAAAAGTTATATTTAGCATTTTTTGGTATCTTCGAATAATGTGAAATGATTAACTTTTTAAAATAAACCATATTAAAGGTACTTTAGAGGAAGACGTATATGAACATTGGGCATTTAAGCCCTGTAAAGTGACATCGATGGGGATAAGACCTAATTGATATTAGAGGCCACTTAATTATACAATGATACACCGAGTTTGATCAAAATCGTTAGAGCCGTTTTTGAGAACATTCAGCGTTGATATAAAGTGGCACTTCCGGTTAGCCAATTTTAAGGAAAAAGTTGCCGTCACATCTAAGGCATATACCTACCTAATATCAGTTTCGTAGGACTTTTCGTTTTTGAGCTAGACCGCTAACATAGGAACACACAGACCATTTTTCGGGACTTATTCATTTTGACTCAGGGTACCTCAAAACGTGTATTTCCGTTAAAAACTCAGTTCAAAAATTTTCTCTATCGCAATACTTACCCTTACTATATATTACATATATGCATAAGTAAGTAAAAGTAACAAGATTAATCATTCAATAACTTCCAAATACATATTGAAAGAAAGAGCACATTTCCAAATAGCTGAGGAAGTTTATAATCCAACAGCTGATTAGCTTAAAAGAACATATGAAAAAAAAGAAACATATACTCACCAACTAAAATACATAAATAAGCCATAAGGATACAGATAAAAAGAAGAAAAAAGAAATAATAATGAATACAAAAGAAAAGAGAAACGAAAATAGACAGAAGAGAAAGGTTATCATCAAAAACAGTCGATCGCTCCGACGAAGTTGAAAGAGTAAATTATCTAGATTTATTAGGCAATATGCTCAAATTCTTATGATTATTTTTATGTTTAACAGCAATTTTTAAATTATCTGCAATATGTATAATCTCTAACATTATAAAAGTTTTACGAGATACAAGTTTGTGTTGTTTGATTTTTCCCATTTGCAACCTAACATCTGATTTCTGTCTGTTGTTAAATTATTTACTCATTTATATTAACTAGTTTTCTTTAATCATATAAAATATGATCTGTTAACAGATTTTTACATAATAGAAGAATAACAACATTGAT